AAAAATATATCAATCATACATGTAGAAACTGAAAATTAATAAATATAAAAATATGTAAATAATCCATGTAGAAATATATAAAGAGAAATGTAGGAACATAAATAAATATAGAAATGCAGAAATAATTAAATGTAGTAATGTATACATAGTTAAATGTAGAAATATATAAAAAATAAATGCAGAAATACATAAATAGTAAATATAAAATATAAGTAATAATGTAAAAGAGTGAGATAAAAAAAAATGTGAGTGCATGTTTTGTGTTATTTCTGTATTTCTACACATCTGAACCACAGACGTGCCTTCTTCATTGACTTGTGGTTTGACAGCAGGTGAGTCATGAAGCAATAAATCATACAAGTTTGTTTTGTTTTTGTTTTTTAAAGAAGAAGAAGAAAGAAAGTCCTCCTGCTGGCGATCAGAGCGTCTTCTTGTTTGTCGTGTTGGAACCAATGAGCATGTTGTGCGTCCGGTTTGAGGCAGGGCGGTGCAGCAGCTCCGCTCAAAGCCAACAACTGAGCAGCACCTTTAGTAACTGAGTCAGCTGGTCTGTGTGCTGCCGGCTGATCTGAGCACAAACCGACTTTCTCTACTTCTGTTCCCTTCAGTTTTACTATCAGTGGTTTGATAGTCTGGAGCGTTTTCTGTGCGTAATGGCGCATCAGGAGGACTTTTCTACCAACTTTTCTTTACCTGAAACCTGACTTGAGCTGCAGCAGAGTTTGTTCCCGGACAAGAAGTCATGACAGGACACATGATTAACCGTATAATTAACCTGCTCACATATTTCAGTCGGAGGACATCATCGCTTCATGCTGACAGAAGCTGCTTTGTCTTTCTGTGATTTATGGGCTGCTGCCTGCGCTCAGGGTTTTCTTCTCTTTATTTATTTATTTTTTTCTATCGGTGAGACTTTTTCGGTCCTCTGAGCCCAGGTCTGATCATGGTTTCAGGAGGAAGAACAGCTGATTTGGCGCCAACAGCTGCTGTAAAGATCTTCTCAGCTGGAACAGCTGGATGTGTGGCCGATCTGGTCACTTTCCCTCTGGACACCGCCAAAGTCCGCCTGCAGGTGAGAAACACCGAAGCTATTGACTGTTTAATTATATTTGATGTAAATCTGATCCAGCTGATGGCCAAACAGTTTATTCAATGGTGCAGAAATCCTAAATTTGATGTTTGTAGACCTAAGAACAGCTAAATGTAAGAACAGTGACTCTTCACACCAGAACAACTTCTATCTGGAACCTCTGAGGCATCATAGAAGATAAATGCCTCCTCATGTGGTTAAAACCAACAAATTCACAAACCTCCAGGACGATCTTCACACTTTTGCTTTGGTGTGACAACATTTTAAGGATGCTGATAAAAGATAAACAGGCACATTTATCCTGTGATGGTTCACCCTGTCAGGAACTTTTTATCAATGTCTGATGTTCCTTCAGATCCAGGGTGAATCCAGGAGCTTGCCGGAGGGCCAGAGGGCCAAATACAGAGGTGTGTTCGGCACCATCTTCACCATGGTGAAGACCGAGGGGCCCAGGAGTCTGTACAGCGGGCTGGTGGCGGGACTGCAGAGACAGATGAGCTTCGCCTCGGTCCGAATCGGCCTGTACGACAACATGAAGCAGTTCTACACCCGCGGATCAGAAAGTAGGAGTCTGTTCACCAGCAAGTTACAGCAGATACACTCTGTCAATAAATCCAAATAGTATAAGGCCTGAAAATAGAATTATTATAGTCATCACCTCACCAGCTGAAGATGTTCTTGATTAGTAGTGCTGTAAATCATTTTAGCCTGTGAAAAAGTCATTGTTTTATAATGTATGTGAAGGAATTGAAGCAAATTATCACATTTGAGAACCTGGAATCAAAAAATGTTTCGAAGTTTTGCTTGAAAACGTGACTGCGCCCTCCAGACATTCTGACCTGCAGATGTGAACATAAAACAACTATGGCAGATGTTTGACCTGCTTAAATTCACGTGTCGCTCATATTTCTCTTGAATAAAGTTAAAACAATTTGCATTAAAGTAAATACACTCATAAAACAGACAGATGACCTCACCTGCTTCAACAACAATTGGTTAGGTGAGCTTATTAAAGGAAAGCTCTGAAAAGGTTCAAACACTGCCCCCAAATGTCAGAAAGTATGACTTACACTGGAGAACAATAAATCTGATCATGTAGCTGTCAAACAGACAGCACAAACAGAACAGAACACTCTGTCACTGGTGTTGAAAACAAAAGAGCAGCATCGCCTGAACTTGTTGTGCAGCAAAAGCCTCCAAAAGTAGTGCACAGGGGAGATTCCTGTCTGGAAGCTGATCTGTGTTTATGCCACAGGCCTCATCTGCTTCATCTGTCACTCACTGTTTACAACATGATTAACTTCTAGTCTAGTCAACAACCTGGTCCAGTTCACTCCTCAAGGTAACTTGTTCAACCAGGGCAAGTGTTCTGCCTGAAGCAGTGAAACATCACTGACGACAACAGCAACAGTTTCTGAGATGAACTTTGCTGCCAAGCTTCAAAATCATCATGATCAAAATTGCCCCTCGGTTTTATCTCTAATTGTCGTGTGTTAACTCGCCTGTTTGATAATTGCTCTGCTTGTTCGCCAGATGCTGGAATCGGCGCTCGACTGCTGGCGGGCTGCACCACCGGGGCGATGGCCGTGGCCTTCGCTCAGCCCACCGACGTGGTCAAAGTCCGGTTCCAGGCTCAGGTCCGGCTGCCTGAGAGCGGCTCCGTGAAGAGATACAGCAGCACCATCGATGCCTACAGGACCATTGCCAGGGACGAGGGCGTTAAAGGGCTCTGGAAAGGTACGATGAAATGTGTTTGTAATTCCACTGTGCTGTGGGTGTTACTGTTGCTCAACCTGCCATCTCCAAACAGATGATCATCATTTATTTACTCCTCTCACAGAGTTACTGCACTGATTTTCCATTTAGAGCTGTTTTTACAGGTGTTCTGCTGCAGGGGTCGAAAAAAAAGTATCTCGTTGCTTCAAATTGTGCTGCGTGAACGCTGACAATCAAGTGATAAAAGCAGAATGTGTTGAGGTTAAAGTTTAAGTCTGAAAAAAAAAGCTTCAAGAAAAACAGCTTTTGAAACTGTGGATGTTTTCAGGTATGCTAACGTGTCTCCTTCATCCTCTAATTTGCCTCTTTCAAAAATGTGAGAAAGAGGCACCAGAAGGAGCTGAACCTGCCACATGAGAATGTTTTTGTCTCACAGCTTCAGTCTTGAGCAACAGTTACATGAGCTGTGCTCCAAAACACATGCTTTTCCTTTTTGCTACAGCTGCTGCCCCCATTTCTCTGTCACCGACAGTCAAATCGACACATGGAAGTACGGCATTTGTACGTAATGCCACTTGATGACAGACTTCCTCGTAGGATTCACCAGTGTTTCCTCATTCTCAGCCTTTTCTCTCTTCCTCGTCTAATCCATTTAAGTAACTGGAGGGTCCTCCATCATGGTTGAGGGGACATGAAGGGAGCATAAATTAGGATTATAAAAATAATCTGATTAGCCACGTCCAGTATAACACCCCTGATTTTTAACCAAACTGTCCGCAGTTTGAGGTGCATTGTGGGTAATGTAGGCATCAGGTTTAGGAGGAAAGAAGAAGAATGTGTGAATTAGAACTGGTTCTGCTGCATGAGCTGTAATGTACCAAAGACAATGAAGCTATTATGCATGTAGCAAAAAATGTACAACTTTAGATCCTTTAAATTCATCAAGAGCCAAAAAATCTCCCATTTTGTACAGCTTTCTACTGGCCCAACATCCACGTCTCTTCTGTTTATTGTTTATTTTGCACTAAATTCAACTGTGAAGGCTTCATTCACACACACACACGATGGTGAGATGTGTGTCGTCTGATTCACCAAACGCTGACAAAGTGTTGTGGAGATTCAGTAGTTCTGGCTGTGAGAGACTAAGATGTGTCTGCTGCATGAACTCTGGGAAGCATTGATGTGAGCTCTAATCGAAGATGCTGTTAAGTGATTTATGAAGCTGGTGCCTCTAATGAACTTAGTCTCTGCAGCTTCGTTTCCCGGGGCGGTCCTCATGAGAGCTGGTTTCATCACGTTTTTTTCTTGGAACTTTAAAAGATCCTGAAATTTTCCACACCTTCATCTTTTAGTCCTCAATATTGTTCTATACTAGACATTTAAAAAAAAAAACACTTAATGACTGCTTGTTTCCAGACTGTGCTTTATTGTGCCAGTTTAAGGACTCCTTTTTAAGATTTTATTTTTCTTCTATAAGCATTAAAAAACTGTCTTTCCAGGTTGTCTGCCAAACATCACCCGTAACGCCATCGTGAACTGCTCCGAGCTGGTGACCTACGACGTCATCAAAGAGCTCATCCTGAAGTACAAACTGATGACGGGTGAGTGCGTCTCATTGTTCCTCCTGTTTTACGGCCTCCTGCGTGACCTTTAATAACTAAAGCAAACACTGCGTTTTCCACAGACAACATGCCGTGTCACTTCACTGCAGCCTTCGCAGCAGGTTTCTGCACCACGATTGTAGCGTCTCCGGTGGACGTGGTGAAAACGCGCTTCATGAACTCGGTGCCCGGCCAGTACAGCGGTGCCATTAACTGCACCTTGACCATGCTGATCAAAGAGGGGCCCACAGCTTTCTATAAGGGGTGAGTAGAGGAGTTATCACAAGCTGACATGACGAAACATCTGCTGCAAAAGATCTTGATTTTAATGATTTCTTTTATAGCTTCATGCCTTCGTTTCTTCGCCTGGGCTCCTGGAATATTGTGATGTTTGTGAGCTACGAGCAGATTAAGAGGGCTGTGATGAGATTTCAGCAGTCCTGGGAGTCTCCGATCGGACCAGTCTAACTGCTGGTTTGACGCTGAAGCTGTGGCGGCTTCAATCAGCAGTGTGGTTACGAATGCTGTTAGTCCGGCCTTGTTCATCCTCAGGGATAAAACTGAATGTGCATGTCACTAAAGGGGACTTATTATGCTTTTAATTAGTTCCTGTCAGGTGTATATAATGCTAAAGTGCCGGATGTTTATTTTAAACATAGTCAGAGTTTCATATAATGAGGAAAACGTACGTAAGAGTGACTTCAGACAGCTCTGAACACAAGGTGTCCAGTGTTTTCAGTGAGGTAGTGGCAGTACAGCTAATGAACGCTGGGTGCTTACCCTCGGCAGGCTTCCGGAAGTTGGCCAATCAGGAGAAAATGGGCTTTTAGGATGGGGGCCTTAAAGCGACAGGAGCTAAAACTGCTCGGAGCTGCATAAAAGGTCATTATAAGATCAATACAGTTGTTTTTTTTAACTGGGAATCATGCAAAGCTACACTTTTGGAGTCCCAGAATAAACATACAGAGCTGAAAATAAGCACAATAGGTCCCCTTTAAAGACGTCATGCTCCAAAGAGAAACTGCAGGGATAATTCTTGATGACATTTTTCTTATTTAATTATTAGAATAATGAATGTTTTGTAATGTTTTTCATTGGCCTTCATCACTGAAGACGTTCTGATGCTGTCATTGTTCACTAGATACAACGACAAGTCAAAGTGTCTGCACTGTGTGTTAGATGTAGATAACCTATGGTGTGGATGGGAATGCAGAGCTTACTTCCTACTTTGAAGTGAATTTGTATTTGCTAAGCATGCTTAGGAATACAAGGAACTGGACTCCGGGTCGTGTGGTTTGTGTTGAACAGAGTTACGTACATACTTATGTACACATAGAAACAACAGGTCAAACTGTTAAATGTAAGAAGGAACATGTGAAGTGTGAAGGTGTGTAGGAGTGAAGGGAAGTAAATAAATATTAAAAATCTTATGTAAGTATGTTTTCATTCTTCTGGACTGT